TGAAACCCGTGCTGGAGCAGGCACCTGGCAGGACATGTGGACCCATGAAAAGAAAAGCCCACACTGGAGCAAGTTTTCTGGTAGGACTTGTGACCCCATGGGCGACCCACACTAGAGCACTCTGTTCCTGAAGGGCTGCACCCCATGGAAGGGACCCATGCTGGAGCAGTTTGTGAAGAACTGCACCTTGTGGGAAGGACTTATGTTGGAGTAGTTGGTGGACAAGTTTCTCTTGTGGAAGGGACCTGACACTGGAGCAAGGGAAGAGTGTGAGTGATCTGACTGATAATAAATTAAACTAATTTCACCAAGTCAAGTCTGTTTTGGCTGTGATTGTAACTGGTAAATGATCTCTCCCTGTCCATATCTTGAGCCATGGGCCTTTTGTTACAATCTCTCTCCCCTGAACAGCTGAGGAGGGGAGTGACACAGTGGCTTTGGTGGGCACCTGGCATCCTGCCAGGGTCAACCCACCACACTTTTTTTGAACTCAGATCTAATTATGGAGTCCTAAAAGAAGTTCACACAGTGATGAAAACATTTCAGCCCATCTGAAAATATCTCCTCAAAGGACAAAATTATGTAGATAACATCCAAAATATGATTATGAATGGTTTAGCACAGGAAAATAAAATGAAAGTCAGAATGTTTGGAAAATACCGAGTAATAAAAATAGTCCAATATGAAAAAATGTCATATTAGTCATCATTTAAAAGTATACAAATGACATATTAGTTCACTGAAGCAATGGACACTACACCACTGACCCCATTGGATCTACCATCTTACCTCAAAAAGGAAAATCCTTTGAGTCCTTACCTGTACACTGGTAAGAGTGGTGTATTGATAAGCTTTGACTACCAGGTAATTGGCTTCTATATCTATTATCCCCAGGATCATGTACTTCCACCATCTCCTTTTCAAAATTGCCAGCAAGTTTTCTTCTCCTGTGGTAATAAACAAGAAGGATTATGCAAGAGTTAGGTATATATGCCCAAAATACCTGCTTGCCAAGAGATTTTATCCACATCTCTCTCATTTACACTATGCAGTTGAAAAGCACCTATATAAAGAGGTGCTGCAAGGAGGTGAAAACTAACACACCCTATTTGTCTCACAGATATTAGAAGAGCCAGCCTGGCAAAGTAATGTATGAGGGTCAGATTGACATTTCACTTAAAATGTAAAAACCATCAGGAAAAACAAACACAGCTTGAGCAAACTGGACATATGTTCTTACTTTTAGTTTCATATATACACATATATATGCACATATGAAATGCTAAACAATAGGGCAGTTTATTACATACATTTATACATTCCATACACAATGACAAATGTATGTTGCACACATGATGCAATTGGGTTTTGCCACAGTGGGAAATTACAAGTATTTGTGAATATGATGGAATATTAGAGCATCACTCTTGGGCAGATTACAGATTCTGTTCCTAGGATAGTTATTTTGATCCTAGAGGTTCAAAGCATCAGACTTGTTTAGAGAAAGGCTGCACTGAGACAGATTTTCTGTGACAGGTTGCTCTGCTCCCAGGATCGATTTCTGAAGCAGGCAGGTTAGCTGCCTTCTACGGGAACCCTGTCAATCACCCAGTAGTTAATCTCCACCATGTGAAGACTGACAGTCCAATGCAGCCTGCAGATCAAACCCACAACTTTCAAAAGGTCAAAGCATTCCTCATGCTAGGCTAGGGATTATTATTGTTCTCTATTCAAAAGAAAACAGCTCATTAGTGAGGGTGGGCAAACCTGTAACTTATTTGCATTACAGTAAGCTCCAGACATGATGAGACCCCACTGTGAAAGGGGACAGACTGTGCCTGAACACAATATGACTGGAGGTCTTTCAGACTCTGTAGCCCAAAAAGAGATCTGAGTAGGGTTGACTTGTACTGCCAAAGTATCATAAATGGTATTTGAACTGTCTTGCAAGTTTTAAAGAAAACTCTGCTATTCTGAGATTTGTTCATGTTGCTGTAGCCTTTCCAAGTGCCTGTGATCATTGAAATGATTGGTAGAAACTACAGAAGAAAAGGAACACTGTTGTCAATTGCCACCAAAACTTGCTAAGGCTTCCTAATTCTCCCTCATCATTTTCCTTCATCACAAGTGTGTTCACTCTGTGGTTCAAATAGACCCAGTACTGTATGGGCTGTCATACCATGGCAGAAACAACAGGCTCTCTATAGCACAGGTATCTCAGATCTTATAAGATGCAAACACAGAAAAACAGATAATTACTTCAGAAGTTAATTCAGAAATCTTAGATGTTAAATCTTGGCCTGAACAAAGCATCTGAATCATTTCACGTTTGTTTATTAAGAGATGTTCACACATACACACTTCCAGTGGGATATTATTAGGCAAAAACCTAATTATTTGTAACAGTGATAATGACATTGAGTGAAAAAATGTAAATGCTAAAAAGTTTTCCTTCCTTTCCCTCCCTCCCTTCCTTCCTTGCCTCCCTCCTTTCCCTTGTTCTCTTTTTCTCTCTTTCTGTCAGCAAGTAGCAGAAAAATCACAGAAACAAGGTGGTGAGTAGGCTAATATTTAAGATGCTAAATAAAGAGTAAGTACATTCAATCATACCACACTTCCCTGTTACACCGACTCACAGGAGAGCTCATGAAAAAGAAAACTCCATCTTCCAGACATGAATTATGACTACATCTATGTATTTTTATGATGATTTGAACATGCAGAAAGAGGAGTACTTTAGATCTTATTTTGTTAAAAATTTATTTAGGGAGGTATTTTCAAAAGACCATTGAGATTAAATATCCTAATTCATACCAAAATCAGTGTAAACCACACAGATATATCCTTTCCAGGTACTGAAACTATATGTCAAATTTTTATGCTGCCCAGACAATGCCTTTAAAACATCAACTGGAAAACGTCAATGCAATGGAAATGAGTGGTTAACATTTCAAAGTGGTTTTTCATTTTAATTGTAAAGAGAAAGATAAAAAACTAAAGAGATCAAACTGCAATCTTTATTCCAACAGTGAAAAATCCCACCTGAATCTGGTTTTGGTACAGAAGGACCTTGGTGGTACCTACAAAAGCAGAAAGTAGCAGCAGGCTCAAGAACAGCACAGACATGAGGTTGCCCAAGCAAGGACTATGGATACAACTCAAGGACTTTTGGTGCCTTTGCTTTGCCAGTGCTTTCTTCAGTTTCCAATATGTGGACAAATAAGTAAGCTTTAAAAATTAATGTATGGCCATGACTTCTGGTTAATGAGTGAAGTTAAGTTTCCAGTGATGGAATTAAATCTTCTACAATTTTAACTGACACACACAGTTCTGTCTTTTGCTTTTTCAATCCTTTATTTGTTGAAGACACAAAAAAAGAAAAAATGTTTGGCATGTGGTATCTTAACTTTGATATGCATCTCTGAGATACTCCAAACTGCAAAAGATCCGTTTCAGCTGAGAAGGCTGGGAAGAGAAAAAAGCAATGCTGAAATTAATTTATGCAGGCACTGTACAGCTCTGATGAACATTGGTTTAGCTTTGCAGCAAGTGTTTTTGTCTTGCCCTGTGGAAAGCAGAGGATGCACAGATATTCAGTATGACAGAAATAAACTGGAAAATTTGTTCCTGGAAAAAAACCTTGTGCAGGAGATGCATCTTTTTCTGTGCAACATACTTGGTCTTTGCTTCCATTCACTTGTTACTTAGTGTGTAAGAAAGGTCTGGCTTCTGACTGGGGTCCCTCTGTCTGCATTATTATTATAGCTTATCATTAAGATATCAGTTGTGTAGATCTACAAGCATCAGCAAAACTGGTGAACTCCATTTGAGGGTATATCTGAGCTGGACACAAGTGGTGTTCTCCAGGGTTCAGTACTGGGGCCAGTTCTGGTTAATATCTTTATCAGCTATCTGGACAAGGGGATCAAAGGTTCCCTCAGTCAGTTTGCAGACAACACCAAGCTGAAAGAAGGTTGAATTTGTAGCGAGATGGAAGTTGATCTCTTCTCCCAAATTACCAGAGACAGAACAAGAGGAAATGGCCTCAAGTTGTGCCAGAGAGGTTTAAATTAGTTATTTGGAAAAATTTCTTCATGGAAAGGTATAGAAAAGCATTGGAACCGGCTGCCCAGGGAAGTGGTGGAGTCACATTTTTTTACTAAATTTGCAATGGGACACTCACTTGACAGTTTACATATACAAAGGAGCTCTCAGTGTTTGGAAAAAAAGCTACAGCTTTGCCTCTGCTGGCTCAAATTAAAAATCAACAAATAAGCTGCTTTGTAGAAGAGACGGTTTTACATCATGTAATAAGGATTTATCCCTGGGGGTTTACAAAATTAAAAATAAATTAGAGAGAAAATTAAAAGAGGCTTTAGCTGCGCAGTGTCTACCCAAAATACATATATACATGTGAAAAACTCTTTTCACATTCATCCACACAGCCACAGAGGTACAATAAAAAAACCCCAACAGCCATTAAGACAGCAAATTCCCAATTATTTGTGTATGGGCTTGGGACACAGGTGGAATAACAGGACTGCCGGACCAGAAAATAAGCATATTGCTTCTCTTTCATCCACTACAGTCCCTCTCTTTTAATTCAGATGACAACTTGCTATTTAGATCTACATCATCAAGGGAGCTGTGCTCTCCTTCTGCTTTCCAGAGCTCAGCAGAGAGATCTAAATGCCTGCAGGAGGCTTGCAAGGGGGAAGCTACTGTGGGGCAGGAGAGCTGCTGGGCACACTGGTCCTCCCCTGCCTCTCATGGGAGTGCCAGAGTTAAGTGTTATGTGGTAAAGAAGCAAAAGTCTTACAGTGGATGAAAATTATGCCAGGATTTACTTATTATCTCTTTTCTTTGAAAAAATAATCTCAATTACAAATCAAAATTACAGGATAATTGCTTCTTTTTTTCATTGTCACCTTAATAGTTGAGCCTTGCAGATTCGGAACTTCACCAGTACCAACACTGCTTCTCTACAGACTTTGTAGGCATCCAGTCCTGCTCCAGGACCAGGGAAAGGAGACAGTAAAATGGGGTAAAACTGCATAGGTGTAACATGGATCTTCTCTGTATTACAAAGCCAAAAGACTCTCATGTCTGAACAAAAAAACCTTTGCTTATCTCCTGCTTGGCCAAGTTGCTGGTTCAGGAGACTAAAAGCATGCTGTAGAAGACTTTCAGCTCTCCACCAAAGCTTAAAAGTACTATCCTCCTTCTGTATGACCTCAAATGCTCTGATCCCAAAACGTTTCTTATTTCCTCTTGTATTACTGATGACTTCTTTATGGTAATACTGTTGCCTAAAGGCAAAACATCACCACTGCTTAATTATTTATGCAATAGAAAAATTTTCTCTTGCAGGAAT